CAGAAAACCCAAAATTTAAATGATATATTACCGAACGCTTTTAAAACAACAATTTCTCTTCCTTTTTCTTGTTTTTTATTTTCTCATTTTGCATCCTCATTTTCTACTATCTCTGGACATTACTTTAATTTGCAGTGAAGTGCACCAAAATATCAGTTATAGTTGGAAACACAAATACCAAGTTTGTTTGAGCGTGATGATGAGCACAAATTGTTTTGCATAGTACAGCGATTCCCAAAGTGTGGGCTGCGACAGGTTACATTTACAATAAATACATTTAAAAAAAAATAATTTTCAATTTTGAAACGTTTGAAATTGATATAAAAATATTTATTATTTGAACAATTCTAGCGGCATATTAGTTATGCGAAACATTAGTTGATGAAGCACAAACAATTTAAACAAACAGATTAATAAAACAATAAGGCTCTCGCTCGAAACGGCTGCTCTGGTCCGCCTGTCGTTGTTCAACAAAAGGCGCCGCCAAACCAGACAATGTCAAATGGGGCGCCATCTTGTAGTGTTAAAGTAAACATATATGAGCTCCGGAGAAAATGGGATACAAAACATACATTGTCGGTTACTACATTTTTAATCGGTTAAATTCTTAAGGTCATTTAATCATCCCTAGTTTATGTTTTGATCAGAGACTAAAGGTTTGGGTGGGCCGCAAAAGATTTTCAGATTTCAAATTGGGCCGCGTCATTCTTGAGTTTGGGAACCGCTGGCGTAGTAGTTACTTTCCAACTTTAATAGTTAAAAGCCGTAATGAAGAAACAGCAACACCAAACAATCTGACAAACACAAACACAACAGCAAGTGTTACAAATAATACAAAACAGGCCCCACTCAGTTACTCCCATGAATCTGTAGCTTTGTGTTTTTATGACGGCTGTGTAATTTCTTCTCTTTGCTAACAGTGTCCTCCAGTGGTTGTATAGTGGTGTTACTCAAACGGAGCAGGAATCCAATGGACGTGGATCATTGTCATGAATGATGTTCACTGCTACGGTAACAGAAGGTTTCACTCTGTATATCTTCTCATGTATATGTTCTTGGTACTGATATTTGACCTGAAGACTCAAATCAATTCTTTGAACTTTGACTCCGTGCCTTCGTACCCTCCTGCCTTGATCACTGCAAGTCGCTTTCTCCAATGGTTAAAAGGGGTGAATTGTAATAAAACTCTTGAACTGATTGATTGATCATGCTGTGAGAGAACCGAGGTCTTCTGACCAAATGCTTCTGTCTGTCCACAGATGCTGGACTACGCGTTATGGGCTTTAGGCCTTGACTATCACTGCCTCGTAACTGTAAAACTCTGATCCGCCCGCCATTTAAATGTCTCCCACTAATGAGCTCCTCAAATGGCCTAATCTAAAAACACACAATTGTATTCATTACCTGTGATCTCTGCCCAACTTAAACAGCTCAGGTATGTCTCTTCGTCTAGGCCTGTGTCGTCATTATGGGCTTAGGATGGCTTTACTATTATTATTATTATTATTATTATGACATGACAGAAGCTTATTTTCAGGTACCAGGTGCAACAAAAAAAACCTTTGCACATCTCCGTGGAATCCCAAACATCTAATCTACGGGACGTGATGACGGGGATCATTCATTCAGTTTCAATGGCTTGCCAACGAGGGGGCAGCATAGTAAATGCATGATGAACGTTGGCTGTAAAATCACAATCACATCACTCTATTGATAAGGGAGACCTAATTAGTTTGTTTGTATTCCCTGTGATAAGATAACATTAATAGGAAAAAAACAAGGTTCAAGACTTTGTCCTCACCCAGTTAGGACCCAGTATACAGTACATATATATGTATATAGAGAGAGAGATTCTGCAGTTACAGACATTCCTTCAAAGTACATTTGTTTTGGAATAGTGTCCTGCATGTAGATACTTGTACCGTGCAAAGATAACTAAAATATCTAAGTTTCAGATAAAAATATATATTTCTTTGTCTGTCTGTTTTCAGAGGCTGCCAGTTTGGCTGAGAAGACATAATGACAGAGGCCAAGAGGTCGTCCGGTGCTTTGACATCCACTCTGTCGATCGATTTTTTTCCCACCTGTCCACACAACACAGGGCATCACTGTTTGTTTCTGTGACGGACAGCTGTGATTTGCTCACAAAGCCTCGTTAAACGACCACCAACGTGTGAGAATTACAATGGCTGTACGTTATATAGCGGATGGACTCGACAACCTGCAGTGAATTCCACCTTTGGCCTGTTGTTGTTATCTTAGCGCGTCGTGTTTTTTGCATGATGTTGACGTCAAATGAGGGGCTTATATTTGTGTCACCTTAACTAAGGCCCCACTCGTGTTATATGGAACTTTCCTTACCCCAAACCTGTTGGCAATAACCATGTATTCATTGCCTTGTCATTTGACAAATAGCAGTTTTAATGCTCGCTTGTTGTTTGTGTCAACATGAGCATAAGGACGATAAAGCAGAGAATTTACATTCACCTAAAGTTATAGGATCGGACATGAAATGAGCTTTGACTCACCCCGACGAGGAATGTACGACCGGCAGCCTATACGAAGGCTTTCCAGTACAGCAGCCTCTAATAAATCCACTTTTCAGATGTTCCCGGGCAGCAGGAAATGAACTAAATGGACTTTTATCCCACTGCTGCAGCCAGAAGCTGTGAGTTCACCTGTGCTACAAACAGGGCCAACGCATACACACTCAAGATGTCCCTTTCAAACTAAGCTCTCCGGCGGAGCTTAATGAGGTTCCTGTGAGAACTTTAAGCAAAGAAAATAAGTTCTCAAAGTTTGGCCGCGGTAAAAGCTTGGCAGTTTAAAAGGACTCTGACATAATAGGTCTTACAGTAAATAGCCCAGGAGGTATTCTTGAGTGCACTCTAAAAGGCTGCAAAACTCCTAACAGGGTTTTCAGCTGAGAAAAAAGAGGTTACATGGATAATATTATACATGCAGCAGCCGTTATTATTATCATTATGGTTGTATAGTTACAACATGGATAACAAATGGCTCCCATCGATGTTTACCTGCAAACTGCAGATTAAAACAAAATGCCTTCTGACATTCCACATGATTTAGCTCGGCCTATGAGCATTTGTGGAGACAAACACAAAACAATGATACAAACAAACCAAGACCCTCATGCATTGCACACGTCTGCAGTTGCCAGTTTAAAATGTAAATGTAGATGAGACGTCCTCACTGACTCACACATTGTGAAAATGATGCTGCCACACAGTTCTCTGTAGTGTGTAACCTTCAAACGTTCGGCCCCTCCGGCCACAACGCAGCTGAATGGAGTCAAAGCAAGCTGTCAAAGGCAAAACACCTGCACTGATTTATTTATTCAATTTATTCAGTGCAGATTAACCGCCAGAATATTCATGTGTTCTTTTCACATCATTCATGTGCGATGATAAAACTCTACCAATAGATTTAATTGCAAAAAAAGTAAAGTATCAGCGTTTACACTTTACAAGAAAGGTGGATGGGTTTTTTTGGAGAAGAATTCCAAATAAATTAATTGGGGCAATTCAACTATTTTGTATAATGTCTTTTCCGAACACCTTTTTATTATTCAAATTTTTCTTCCAAAAGCACCGACGTGCTCTAAATACCAAATAGCGGTGTTGAAAATGTTGAAATCAGTAATTTATTTACAATTTATTTACAATCCGTGTGATGACTTGCTATGCTTACGACAAGCGACCCTTCTAACAAATTGCCACCAGGGGGTAGTCTCTACCCAAACTAGTCCTCAGCCTTCCAAATGTAGGGTTCCTCTGCCCGAGGACGTCATTACACACTCAATAAAGCAATGTTCAGTCATTTTCTCTGCTTAATTGATCCCACTGCTACCCAATAATGTGTGGTGTGGCATTTCTTTATTGCAGCAGCATGCCTCAGAGTGCAACACGCTATTTGTAATCATCCTGTTGTTTTGCTCCTGCGTGACCAGCCATCTGTAGGCAGCATGCGGTGGACTTGTTGGTCGGCGGTCGAGGTCAGGGGCTCGACGGTGCAATCCTCCCCGAGCTGCCCGTAGGGCTGTAATGACATTGTCCTGGTATTTATCAGGGCTTGCGAAACACTCGTCCGGGGGACAAGAACACAACATGCTCTTAGCCAACAGGTTGGATAGATATGTAATAATGACAAAATTGTGAACAAACACAAGGCCGGCATGATAAGGTAATGGTTATGTGTGCTGTTCAAGTAGAAAGCACACTTTCAGAATTACTCTCTCTCTCTATCACACACACACAAACACGCACCACGACACCAACGTGTAACAATCACTTCATATTTATTGCGACAATAACTTGAATTCATCGATATTGACTCCAGTCAATTCATCTTAACCTGCACATACTCACAGTCAACTCTCACCGCATCATAATTGTGCTTTATCTCATTGCACAATTGAATGCTGATTCGCGATCAGAATTTTGATTGACTCCATAAATCCAACCAAATCCAACCGCTGAGGCTCACCTCAACAACAGCATTTAAAATGCCAACCTGTCAACTCCCATCACAAACTTTTTCAAACAACCGAGACAGACGTGTAATCTTGTGCTTGTGTGTGTTCCTGCGGCCTCCCTCGCCCGGCCACTCCTTGTGCTGTCAGCATGGCGGGGTGGAGTCGGCGGCGCTGCACGTGTTGAAAGTCTGCACGGAAGCTTCCCTCCCTCGCGCTCTATCTGCCTTCCTCTGAATATTTGCATGGCTAAGCTGAAACAGAAAAGAGGAGGGCCCAGTGTGTGCAACCAGCCCGGCTTTTTACCAATCAAAGGGGTTTCCCCACCCTCTCTGACTCCTTCCCTCCCTTTTCTGTTCAGTCCCACTGTGTCTGAGCACTCCAACACCCCCCAACCCGCCCCTCCCAAAATAAAAGTGAAGGAAAAAAAAGTGATAAGCAGCGAGCCGCTTGTGGGTTTTGCTTTCAAGCTCCCTCCTGCTGAATTGGCGTGTGTGTGTGTGTGTGTGTGTGTGTGTGTGTGTGCGTGTGCGTGTGTGTGTGGGGCGTTCACTCTTTCTCCTGCCACACTAACAACACGTTGCAGCAGCGTCGGCCCACGAACAAAAAGCAGCAGAGCCGCGGGAGGTGAGACGACTTGGTGCTGGAAGCAGGCAGAGTGGCCCAGCGCGACTGCGAGACTCAGCGGGGGAACTCAGCCTGACATTCACGCTTCCTGCTCCCCGGAGCCCGGCCCGCCTGTCCGTCTCTGCCACACTGTTTTGTCTCCCTTTCGTTCACCTCAGCCGCTGAGATTCCTGCACCTGCCTTTCTACCCCTCGGCAGGGGCACCAGAGGGGGGGTCCTTTTCTCTTTTCATCCACCTGTGCCGACGAGATGTCAGACGACGAGTGCCGCTCGCCCATCGGCCTGGACTGCTGCAGTTGCTGCCTGGACCTGGCCAACGGCTGCGATGACCCCATCGGGGGCCTCGGCGCCACGCCGGGGAGCCCCACCAGCCCCATCGCCAATCACTTCCGCCGGCTACGCAGCCAGCTGATGTACCAGAACACGGACAAGCTGAACAACATCATGAGGCAGGACTCCCTGGAATCGGTGGTGAGGGACCCCTGCTTCCTGCTGAACGAGGGGATCTGCAACAGCAACATCGACCAGACCATGTTGTCGATACTACTCTTCTTTCACAGGTATGGCCGCTGTTTGCTCAGCTGAGCGCCACACGTTTATCTGATCAGATTACCAAGCAATATAGAGGGTGATGTCATTGACACATTTGAACTTGTGCTGAAAGTTTCGCTTTGGAACATTTGGTACAAAGTCCACTTTCACTCACTTCTGCATCTGCAAGTACGCGAGCACGTCACCGGGCTGATGTGGTCTTTTCTGGTTGTCGACAACACACTATGTCATCACAGGGAAGTGGGGGGACAAATAGTGAGATTTAAATGCAGACGATCAGGTGGAATTTGTCTGTCTATATTGAAAACAAATTGAATAGATATAGAACAATGTACAAATATTCATGCAGCACACAGTGTCTTTTTACATCTACACAAGCCCAGTTTTTTCATACAGCATATTTGACATGTTACACAACATGACACTAATATTTGCAAGGCGTTGCTTAACTCTCAAGACGACACGTTGGTCGTAGATTCATCACAGTGAAGACAGACAAACAATAGACAAAATGTAAGTCAAAGAGAACAACCAAACATAAAAACATGAACTTATTCTGAAGCAATAGTTTGTTGTTTGTAATATTGATTTATTAAAGTGATGATTTTATGCAAGAGGTCAATGAAAAATGGCTCCTGAACCTGAGCCAGAAGTTGTTGTTCATTTTCCTTTAAGAAGCTGTGATTTCGTACTTCTGTGTTCTACGGAGGAAACTAGTAAACACAGAGCTGTAATCATCAAAAGAGCCGCCTTTCAATGTCAGTAAAACATAAATGTCTGTGTTAAAGGATTATAACTTATCTCAGACCAGGGTATGTTGAATAACAATCCATCAATAAAAGAGAGGTTTTCTTTTTGGTTTACGGAGGTGAATCGTAACACCAGATGTGACTTACTGATTGTTTAACTCCACCAAGTCTTGTTATTTTCCTCATCACTATAAAAAGCATAATAAAGTAGTTATTGTTCTATTAACATTTTATGGGAGACATTTCATGGTTGCTTTAGTTTTAGAACCAACAACAGTTTTTTCTAGAAAGGCAGTATGTATCAAATGTTTCCTGCTATGGGAATCCTTCTAAAAACAATCCTTATATTAGCTGCCATTAAGTAAACATTTTATAATAAAAAGATCCCATGTTTGGTGAAAAAGAAAATCTGTTAGGGTGTTTCTCCTGATTTGTGCATGAAATTAAACTAGTCATGATATTTGTTATCTTGGATTCAGTAACTTGCAGACGATATCATAATAGCAGTATTCCGTGGCCGAGAGGCATTTTCAGTACTTTATCCACGTTATCTACGAGCCAAACTGGCACAGAAAATCTGAATCAGTTCAACCGTTTCATAACAGCTCGGCAAATTATTTTTATTGTGTCACATTGTTTTCGTGGATATTGTTCTTGCTGTGGAGCTGAATTATTCAATGAAGGAACAGATGGGTGTTGATTTATTTATGATAGCGTAGAAGAGTCATTGTGCTACTGAGGATAAGGAACAAGAGGTTAAGAAACTTTGGGTGTGGATTGCAGCGCCGTACTTTTAACATGTCCTTAGATTTAAGGTTAAACTTAGATTTGCTCAGACGAGTTGCTGTTCATTGCTTTCAGTGGATGAAGTGAATAAAACTGGGAGGGCGTATTTAAAAATGCAGCAGCGGCTTTTCCTGCACTGCTATTCTGACTTTGTCATAATTTCCCTGCAACACTTTTTTGCTGCATACTTTTCATCCCTACCCACAGTGGCACACCGAGGTACGCAGTAAAGACTACCAATTAGATCATGGGAAAACTCTTTAAATCTTCATCTCCTTATCTATTCATGTTAAAAATGTATCTGCAGAAATACGTTTCACATTACTGGCCAAACGTTTCACATTACTGGCGAAGAGAAAATGTCCAATGTCTGCCATGCATCTGTGTGCGCAAGCTCAACTGTTTACTTGACAAACAGACTTTCCATCCAGAACACTTTGTTCCCGAACTTTTCCCTCTGAAGTGGAACTCCCAGGCATGGATCATGAGGCTTTCATGGATGGGCTTTCTAGCAGGATTTAAAACATTGATTTCAAACGTGGACTTCTCTACGTTCTTCTGTGCACAAACACATTCGTTCATTCACGCATGTGCCTGTGCAGTATAATCCTGTCAGTTGAAGCGAGAAAGCTGCCTCGCTAAGCTGAGGTTTGCAAAAGTCCATGGATTTTTCAAGTGCATGCCTGGAGACGGCCGTGCGTCTGATGAAAGCCCGGCTGAGGTTCATGCTGTGACCTCTCCCTGGGTGGTCAAATCTGCCGAGCGGACGTTATTCTCAATTTCCCCACCACGGGATGCTCGGCACAGCCCGAGGAAGCTTGCCAGGACGTCTTCTGGGCTCGCTGAATATCACTAAAATGTTCATTGGCCAGCAAACTTGCTATGTAGAAACGATTCGTGGGTGACAGAAATGCGCTGGGGGAGCAAAGCCAGGGAGCCCTGAAGGCGGGTGATGAGACCAGCGGGTAAATCAGATAAAATGTGTTGATTTACTTAAGGCGAGAGCTACACTTGCAAAGAGAGAAGCACCCTTCCACACACCTTCACCCCAAGAAGTCAGTCAGTGCTTAGCAGCCAATAAACGCCTTCACGTGGCAGGGTGAAGAGGGGTGAAGAGCCTGCAGCAATCAAACAGGACTTTGGGCCTCTGACCAGTCAGCCGTCAGCCGGCGGAAAAAACACAGAGGGAAAAGAACTTGACGGCAGCCAAACACAATGTCACAAAGCGTCGCCTCGTAAAAAAGGTTTGCCCTGCAGCTGCAACCAATGTGACCACGAGACAGTTCTGAAGAAGACATCTGCACACTTCAGCTGGCCACGCCAGATTCATCCACGAGACCAGAAAAATGCATTTGCCAGGTTCGTCCGCAACGGACACCGTTTGATTGAAGGAATACTCAAATATTCAAATGTGTTTTGAAATGAATTGATTCAACGAATTGAGTGCAAACTGAAGCAGTTGTTGTTGAAGAGTAGTGAAAAGTGTAGCGGTCAACTACGTGGTGAAATAAGACATTAAAATATCCTCACATTACAATATTTTACAGAAACCTATTAATGAATGCATCAAAATGGGGCTGGTCAGTATGCAACAGTAGCTGTGGACAAGCAGACACAAAGGGACATGGACACGCACGAACACGACTGAAAACACAACGTCCCGGAGGAGGTAATAACAAGTGTAGGCAAGAAAGTTTGATTCTCTGCCCTGACATAGGAATGTTTTATTGTAACACTCCTTAGAAGCCGAGGCATCATTACAGGGATAAAAGATCTGCATGTTGGCCTCAGTGATCTTTGGCTTCAGTCCAGTCGACTACTGAACACGACCAAGTCCTCCCCACAAAGCAGGAGGGGAGACAGGGTGCCGCAGTGTGAGAGACCCCACAGCACTTTAAAGCTTTACTGATCAAAATATAAAACCATAAATAGCAAAGTCCAAGACCGACGTTTAGTGATCAACTGTGGAGGTATGGAAAGGGTGTTTTAGATATCTACGCCGTCCAGTGATCCGTTTAAATGGATATTTGACAATACAGAAAAAATCTGTGACACTATTGGCGACGCTTTTGTTTTGTTTTCATATTTTAGTTTTAGTACATTGCAGTCGATTAATTATTTACAAAAGAATATGATGTGGTTATTTCTTCTTTATCTGTAGAGTGTTGAATTAATTTACATGCAGGTCAGACCAAAACACCTAAAAGTATCTCCGTCACGAGATGAAAAATGAGTTAAAAAAGTGTTCCCCGGTGCATAAATTACAGGGATAAAATGAAAGTGCATCCGGTTTCATGCCTGCTCCCTGGACAGATATAAGCTTTCTGCTTAAACATTAAAAGTGGATGTAAACAATGTGTTTTTAGGCCTCGTGATGCAAATAACATCGTGGCTGTATGGAAACACCGATCGGTCAAGGGCGGAGGGATGTGAGGTGGAGGCAAACAACCCGCTGCCCTCTCAGTATTCTCGGCTGCTGTAAAATCGGCGGACAAATGCTATGTAATGAAAAGCCTCTCCACCGTCTTGGCCACAATCAATACAAACATACAGGAACATTACAGCCTGGGAGTCACCATGTGTAAGATGCTAAAGGCCTCCACACTAGAATAGATCACAGTGAAACCGCACATGTTTCCATCTCGGGGTAACAAGGCAATCCCCGAGAGAGCCGCTTGACCATAAGTCCTAACTTGATATAATCCAATAGAGTACACGTGAGGCATGTACATGTCAAAGGCATGCACGCTGATGAGATGATGCACGCTGCATGCACGCTGCACCTGTATCCAATGACATTGTTTTGCTTTTTGCTGTTTGTTGCAACTCATTTGAGCAGAGCGACTGGGTGGCTAAAAAACAGTGTCCCACAGAACTGACACAACTGCAGAGTTACGCAACCTGGTGGTGAGACGGCCGAAGGAATGATGTTTGGGTGGAAAGAACACATTCATGGCCGGGGAAGTCTGAGCAGTCAACAAACAAAGGGCACAAAGGGCGTGGCCTAAGCAATGCCAGCGAGTGGGCGAGCCACGAGGAGAGATAGCTAGACACAGAGAGAGAGGCAGCGGTGGACAAACAGCCAGACATGAGGCCATTACAAAGGCAAAACACAGACAGGACACGCTAAAAATAGCGTGCTGTTGACGTTAGTTGGATCTTCGATATGAATGCAGACTGCAGTCGTCTGGTGTGAAAGTCACAACCCTTTTTCCATAGTTGAAGGAAGTCATTCTTTCAGGGGCCAGCAGAAAGCAAACAGCCATAATAAGTGTTTGTTTCACAGATGTTTTTTTTTTCTTATGGGTTTTGGAGCGTTTACCACTTCTGTGTTGAAAAGAGACAGAGCAGTCGATTGTTTCGCAATGTTAGAAACGACTACATTATCAAACACACGCTGGTATTTGGTGTGTTCAACCCTGTGCTTGATTTTATCACCGAGGCAGCATTTCGGAGATGGACGCACATTAATG